CGTAGGAACTCCTAGAATCTGCATGCAAAATGACAATCTTCTAGCTTTTATAGTTTCCGAGATCTCAGCGTTCATACGGACAGACAGACGGACATGGCTATATCGACTCGGCTAGAATATATATACTTTATAAATAGGCGAAACAAAATATTAAATTCCAAACTTGTTTTATCATATTTTTATTGTTTTATTCAAAAGGAGCGTAACAATTGTTTTTTAAGTTTGGGACCGCAAAGTCTTCGGAATGTCTCAACTTTTGACATAAATATTTACTCAAAATGAAAAAATTTTAGGCAAACTTTCCTTACCAAATTAGAAATGGATTTAATATTGTACTTAACCTTCGAGTGAATCAAGTGAAAATACAATATATTTTTTTACCCATTTTGGTTTTCGTTTTCACTTTTCAGGTGATAGTTTCAACGCAAAATAAAGATGCAAAATATAACAAATTATAAAAAATTTAAAAATGAACCCACGCTTTCAAAATCATATAAGCAGTGTGTCGCCCCACACTAACTAAGCAGTTCACTTTTCCAGTAAGCAGTGTATCGCCTAAATAAATTTCTCAGTGGTTTAAACTCGTTAGAGATGGAAAACCATCGATGATGCCATCACTTTGATGGAGAAAGAGGCAGCCGAGTCCTAGAAATTAGGGTAAGTTGCAGACAAAAAGAAAAATAAGGGTTTTCGATCAGCAGTGTGTTATGTGGTTTGTAGGGGCTCGGTAAGCAAAAAGTCGGTTACGATATTCGGACAATCGGAACACGTAGATCTCCAGCAGCCGAGCGGACCTAAAAAAACTCTCATTGGAGTGATTTTACGGACAAGGCACCAGTGTCTACGCGGACGTCGCGGAAAGCGATCACCGAGGATCGACGGGGAGAAAAGCGCAGCAAAAAATTTGTTGAAATGATGTGCAAAGTCTAATAACTGTTGACCAATATCATTTTTTTACATAAAAAACCACTGCCTAGAAGAGCACATAACCCAGAAAAAAATGCAGCGTTATGAAGAAAAGAGTGAGAAACAAGAAGAGAAGAGGAAAGTGGAAAAGGAAGAAAAATTTAACCCCACCAAGTGAGAAAAAAAACTACAAAAAAAGAAAGGAGCAAAAAACAAAAATAAAAGAAAAATGTCGGAATTATCGGCCAACAAAAAAATATATATGGTTTTTAACCTAATTATAAGTAAATTATTTAAAATGTTGTTAAAGTGTATTCGAAATTGTGTCTAAAGTGTTTGTGAGCATCTAAAACTTCTGCGGGACCTCTGTATGAGAAGAAAAGGGAAATGAAAAAATCCCAAGTTAAAGAAAAGTTTATTCGCCACCCTACCCCATATAAGAAAAAAAATATAAAAAAAAGAAGTGTGCCCAAAAAAAAAATATATAGTCTTTTTCTAGCAGCAATTTCAGGTTCCTCGATCAAAGCGCTTTCTTCGACGGATACTGCTGAAAACAAGAGAGAACGCTATAGTCGGGTGCCCCGACTATCAGATACCCGTTACTCAAGTAAAGGGAGTGCGAGGGAGATGGAGATAGAAACTTTGATCACGCATAACTTTTTAACGAATGGTCCGATTTGAAAAATTTCTTCTACATTTCGATAGGTATATATAAACACAATAAAACTGCATTTTTACTTTTCCGAAATATTTAAATTTTTAAAATCGTATATAAGCGATTGTGGGCGTTAAAGGGGGCGTGGCACCTTTTTGAAACAAACTTGCGCTGCGTAGGAACTCCTAGAATCTGCATGCAAAATGACAATCTTCTAGCTTTTATAGTTTCCGAGATCTCAGCGTTCATACGGACAGACAGACGGACAGACGGACATGGCTATATCGACTCGGCTAGTGACCCTGATCAAGAATATATATACTTTATAGGGTCGGAAACGCTTCCTTCTAGCTGTTACATACTTTTGCACGAATACAATATACCCTTTTACTCTACGAGTAACGGGTATAAAAATAGTGAGTGATTTTCATCAACCCTAATAATATTATGCGGCAATTTTGTAAAAGAAACAAGAGAGAACGCTATAGTCGGGTGCCCCGACTATCAGATACCCGTTACTCAGGTAAAGGGAGTGCGAGGGAGATGGAGATAGAAACTTTGATCACTCATAAATTTTTAATGAATGGTCCGATTTTAAAAAATTCTTCTACATTTCGATAGGTATTGATAAACACAATAAAACTGCATTTTTACTTTTCCAAAATATTTAAGTTTTTAAAATCGTATATAAGCGATTGTGGGCGTTAAAGGGGGCGTGGCACCTTTTTGAAACAAACTTGCGCTGCGTAGGAACTCCTAGAATCTGCATGCAAAATGACAATCTTCTAGCTTTTATAGTTTCCGAGATCTCAGCGTTCATACGGACAGACAGACGGACATGGCTATATCGACTCGGCTAGTGACCCTGATCAAGAATATATATACTTTATAAATAGGCGAAACAAAATATTAAATTCCAAACTTGTTTTATCATATTTTTATTGTTTTATTCAAAAGGAGCGTAACAATTGTTTTTTAAGTTTGGGACCGCAAAGTCTTCGGAATGTCTCAACTTTTGACATAAATATTTACTCAAAATGAAAAAATTTTAGGCAAACTTTCCTTACCAAATTAGAAATGGATTTAATATTGTACTTAACCTTCGAGTGAATCAAGTGAAAATACAATATATTTTTTTACCCATTTTGGTTTTCGTTTTCACTTTTCAGGTGATAGTTTCAACGCAAAATAAAGATGCAAAATATAACAAATTATAAAAAATTTAAAAATGAACCCACGCTTTCAAAATCATATAAGCAGTGTGTCGCCCCACACTAACTAAGCAGTTCACTTTTCCAGTAAGCAGTGTATCGCCTAAATAAATTTCTCAGTGGTTTAAACTCGTTAGAGATGGAAAACCATCGATGATGCCATCACTTTGATGGAGAAAGAGGCAGCCGAGTCCTAGAAATTAGGGTAAGTTGCAGACAAAAAAAATAAGGGTTTTCGATCAGCAGTGTGTTATGTGGTTTGTAGGGGCTCGGTAAGCAAAAAGTCGGTTACGATATTCGGACAATCGGAACACGTAGATCTCCAGCAGCCGAGCGGACCTAAAAAAACTCTCATTGGAGTGATTTTACGGACAAGGCACCAGTGTCTACGCGGACGTCGCGGAAAGCGATCACCGAGGATCGACGGGGAGAAAAGCGCAGCAAAAAATTTGTTGAAATGATGTGCAAAGTCTAATAACTGTTGACCAATATCATTTTTTTACATAAAAAACCACTGCCTAGAAGAGCACATAACCCAGAAAAAAATGCAGCGTTATGAAGAAAAGAGTGAGAAACAAGAAGAGAAGAGGAAAGTGGAAAAGGAAGAAAAATTTAACCCCACCAAGTGAGAAAAAAAACTACAAAAAAAGAAAGGAGCAAAAAACAAAAATAAAAGAAAAATGTCGGAATTATCGGCCAACAAAAAAATATATATGGTTTTTAACCTAATTATAAGTAAATTATTTAAAATGTTTTTAAAGTGTATTCGAAATTGTGTCTAATGTGTTTGTGAGAAGAAAAGGGAAATGAAAAAATCCCAAGTTAAAGAAAAGTTTATTCGCCACCCTACCCCATATAAGAAAAAAAATATAAAAAAAAGAAGTGTGCCCAAAAAAAAAAAATATATAGTCTTTTTCTAGCAGCAATTTCAGGTTCCTCGATCAAAGCGCTTTCTTCGACGGATACTGCTGAAAACAAGAGAGAACGCTATAGTCGGGTGCCCCGACTATCAGATACCCGTTACTCAAGTAAAGGGAGTGCGAGGGAGATGGAGATAGAAACTTTGATCACGCATAACTTTTTAACGAATGGTCCGATTTGAAAAATTTCTTCTACATTTCGATAGGTATATATAAACACAATAAAACTGCATTTTTACTTTTCCGAAATATTTAAATTTTTAAAATCGTATATAAGCGATTGTGGGCGTTAAAGGGGGCGTGGCACCTTTTTGAAACAAACTTGCGCTGCGTAGGAACTCCTAGAATCTGCATGCAAAATGACAATCTTCTAGCTTTTATAGTTTCCGAGATCTCAGCGTTCATACGGACAGACAGACGGACAGACGGACATGGCTATATCGACTCGGCTAGTGACCCTGATCAAGAATATATATACTTTATAGGGTCGGAAACGCTTCCTTCTAGCTGTTACATACTTTTGCACGAATACAATATACCCTTTTACTCTACGAGTAACGGGTATAAAAATAGTGAGTGATTTTCATCAACCCTAATAATATTATGCGGCAATTTTGTAAAAGAAACAAGAGAGAACGCTATAGTCGGGTGCCCCGACTATCAGATACCCGTTACTCAGGTAAAGGGAGTGCGAGGGAGATGGAGATAGAAACTTTGATCACTCATAAATTTTTAATGAATGGTCCGATTTTAAAAAATTCTTCTACATTTCGATAGGTATTGATAAACACAATAAAACTGCATTTTTACTTTTCCAAAATATTTAAGTTTTTAAAATCGTATATAAGCGATTGTGGGCGTTAAAGGGGGCGTGGCACCTTTTGAAACAAACTTGCGCTGCGTAGGAACTCCTAGAATCTGCATGCAAAATGACAATCTTCTAGCTTTTATAGTTTCCGAGATCTCAGCGTTCATACGGACAGACAGACGGACATGGCTATATCGACTCGGCTAGTGACCCTGATCAAGAATATATATACTTTATAAATAGGCGAAACAAAATATTAAATTCCAAACTTGTTTTATCATATTTTTATTGTTTTATTCAAAAGGAGCGTAACAATTGTTTTTTAAGTTTGGGACCGCAAAGTCTTCGGAATGTCTCAACTTTTGACATAAATATTTACTCAAAATGAAAAAAATTTTAGGCAAACTTTCCTTACCAAATTAGAAATGGATTTAATATTGTACTTAACCTTCGAGTGAATCAAGTGAAAATACAATATATTTTTTTACCCATTTTGGTTTTCGTTTTCACTTTTCAGGTGATAGTTTCAACGCAAAATAAAGATGCAAAATATAACAAATTATAAAAAATTTAAAAATGAACCCACGCTTTCAAAATCATATAAGCAGTGTGTCGCCCCACACTAACTAAGCAGTTCACTTTTCCAGTAAGCAGTGTATCGCCTAAATAAATTTCTCAGTGGTTTAAACTCGTTAGAGATGGAAAACCATCGATGATGCCATCACTTTGATGTGGGCAAGGATGCGGGCCCATCTCTACCACAAGTCCCATCCCTATTACCAATCGGGTGTTTTGTTTACAGAATTTTGAAAACAAGCTGCATACTTCCGTGCTAGAACAATGTCGGACAACGAGTACGAGCGCTTCGAGATAACGGACTACGACCTGGACAATGAGTTCAATATGAACCGGCCACGTGGACGCCAGAGCAGGCACCAACAGATTTACGGTGAGCAGCGCAGTGCCACGGTTCTGGCCAGATTCATTTAGTAAATAAACCGCTTTCCCCAGGTATTTGGGCCGATGACAGCGAGGAGGAGAGCGGCGGTGAGGGCGGTGGCGGCCGGAGGGGGCGGTCCGCCGGGAAGCCCAAGGACTACACCATGCCCGTGAACTTTGTGGCCGGCGGCATTCAGCAATCAGGCAAAAAGAAGAAGAAGGCCCTGAAGGCGGAAGACGGCGAAGAACCCCGGCGGGAGGGCCCAGAGGATCAAGGAGACAGGAGCGACGACTCCACGGCCAGCGGACGTGCGGCCTTCGGCCAGAGTGACCCGGACGGCTCCAACAGCTCCACGGAGGAGGAGAGACCCTCGCTGAGTCGGAAACCGGCCAGTGCCACCTTTCAGCACCGCTCGCACATCGCCAGCGAGCGCAACGTGGGCGCCTGGGAGCAGCATACGCGCGGCATTGGGGCCAAGCTGCTCCTCCAGATGGGCTATGAGCCCGGCAAGGGTCTGGGCAAGGACCTGCAGGGCATCTCGCAGCCAGTGCAGGCTCATGTGCGCAAGGGCAGAGGGGCCATCGGAGCCTACGGACCCGAAACGGCCGCCAGCATCGGCGGAAAGGCCACCAAGAGCATCAAAGTGGACGAGGATGTGCGCGAGGCAAAGGAGTTCAAGGACCAGTTGAACAAGTGGCGCAAGGGAGCAGCTGCTGGAACCGATTCGCAGGAGCGACAGGGCAAGCGCTACTACTACAAGTCCGTGGAGGAGGTGATCGCCAAGGGCCACACGTCGAGCCATCTACTTTCGGAGAAGCTGAGCAAGAAACTGGGCAATGTGCCGGTGATCGACATGACGGGTCCTGAGCGGCGAGTGCTGAGCGGCTATCACGCCTTGGGCCAAGCCAAAATCACGCCGGAGGAGACGCTCTACGACACCGAACCGACGGAAAAGGGAGTCGTCCCCATCTGCGCGTTTGCAATGCCCGAATTGACGCACAACCTTCAGCTCTTGGTGAGCCAGTGCGAGCAGCAGATCATCGCCATCGACAACCAGGAGCGAGAATGCTCCAGCCAGCAGGCAGCCCTCGAGAGCGAGCACCGCAAGCTGGAGGAAATCGTGCAGCTGGAACGAAACCACATCCGCACGCTGGAGGAGTCTCTGGACCGAGTGGAGCGGTTGAGCGAGAATCCGGATCTGGCCTTGCCTCAGGCGGAACGACTCTTTCGGGAGCTACTGGAGGACTACACTGCCGAGTTCCAGGAGTTCGGCCTGGCGGATCTGGCAGCGGGCGTAATAGCACCGCTCTTGAAGAGGGAACTAGTCCAATGGAAACCACTGGAGCAGCCAACGGAGCCATTGCAGCTGGTCAAGAAGTGGCGCGCGATGCTGCAACAAGGAGAGCCGGCGGAGCAGCAGCCCCGCAACGTCTTCGATCCGTACTCCTCGCTTATTTGGGCCGGGGTGATGCCCTCGTTTCGGGCCAGCGCCGCAGCCTGGCAGCCCAAGGAGCATCCGCCCATGGCTGCGCTTCTGGACGCCTGGGCGCCCTTGCTGCCCAGTTGGGTTCTGGACTCTGTGCTGGAGCAGTTGGTCTTGCCTCGGCTGGTGGCCGGTGTCCAGGAGTGGGATCCCCTCACGGACACCGTACCCATCGACAGCTGGGTGCTCCCGTGGCACGCGATTCTGGGCAGCAAGCTGGAGGAGGCCGTCTATCCACAGATCCGCTGCAAACTGGGCGTGGCGCTGCGCGCCTGGTCGCCGCAGGATCGCTCCGCCAGGGCCATGCTCACTCCGTGGCAGCAGGCCTTCCCCGAGGAGGAGATGCAGGAGTTCTTGCAGCGCCACATCGTGCCGAAACTGCAGGCGACTCTGGGTGAGTTCGTCATCAATCCACTGCATCAGGACCTGGAGCTGTGGCACCAAGTGTGGGAGTGGCACGAGCTCATCGAGCCCATGTACATGGCTCAGCTGTTGGACCGGCACTTCTTCCCGCGCTGGATGCAGGTGCTCGTGGTCTGGTTAAATCAGTCTCCCGACTACGCGGAGATATCGCGATGGTACACGGGCTGGAAGAGCATGTTGAGCGAGTCGCTCCTCCGCGAGCCGAGCGTCAAGGAGCATCTGCGCAGAGCCCTGGAAATGATGCATCGAGCCAGCGACGCGCTGCTGCAGCCCACCGTCTCGCCCACACCCCCGCCCCCAGTTCCTCCGGCTCCTGTGATGATGTTGGATCTAATTCATCCGCCCGCCCAGCTGGAGTTCAAAGAGCTTGTGTCGCAGCAATGCGCGGACTTGGGCATCATCTTCGCTCCCATTCCCGGAAGGCGGGAGATGGGAAAACAGGTGAACGGAAATGAGTTTTTGAAAAAGTATGCCTTCACATTCTAATCGTAACTTGTTCTCTGATTCACAGATCTATCGCGTGGGGAAGCTCTTTTGCTACATCGATCGCCACGTCTGCATGCTCAGCGATGGAAGCTTCAGCAACTGGCAACCAGTGGCACTGAACCATCTGCTCGAACGCTCTCAAACTGGAATACTCTAAGTTAATATTTACGAAAATGAGTAGACTCTGGGTACCAAAAAATGATTAAGAAGTTTTTAATGCCTTCGTTAAGGTGTGTCCCTTGATAGTGCTCAGTAGGACGTCATCGACGGGGTTTCCTCAGCACACTAGAACATTCATTGTTCATATTTTGGCAAATATTGGTCCACGAAACCTAAACTATATAATAAATAAACTAGTCAAAAATTTGAATGAAACCACCCATTATATATACATACAAACCTATTTCTTAATACGGTGACATAACTTCCAAGGACTTACATGCAAAACAGTGTTTTTATACCCTTGCAGAGGGTATTATAATTTCAGTCAAAAGTTTGCAACGCAGTGAAGGAGACATTTCCGACCCTATAAAGTATATATATTATTGATCAGCTAGGAGAGTCGATATAGCCATGACCGTCTGTCCGTTTCTACGCAAACTAGTCCCTCAGTTTTAAAGCTATCTGCTTGAAACTTTCCCAAAAGTTGTCTTTCTATTGCAGGTAGTATATAAGTCGGAACGAGCCGGATCGGGCGACTATATCATATAGCTGCCATATAACTGAACGATCGGAAAATCCATAACGTTAGTGTTTTTAAAGTTAGGAAGTTGGGATTTTCTATGAGTTTTATTTTTGGTTGATATACCATTGCAGAATATTCTGTAAATTATATTCTCCAAAATTATTCATATGATGCATTCTTAATACTCATAAAAAGTCCCAACTTCCAACTTTAAAAACACCAAAGTTATGACACTTCCAATCGTTCAGTTATATAGCAGCAATAAGATATAGTCGGCCGATCCTTATGAAATTTGGTAGGTCGGATTGATTGGCCAAAAATAAAACCCATAGAAAATTCCAACTTTCTAACTTTACAAACACCAAAGTTATGGCATTCCCGATCAATCAGTTATTTGGCGGCTATAGGATATAATCGGTCGATCCCGGCCGTTCCGACTTATATACTGCGTGCAAAGGAAAGAAAGTTTCAATTAGATATCCTTAAAACTGAGATACTAGTTCGCGTGGAAACAGACAGACGTACATGCTTATATCAAATCAGGACGCAATGGGTTTTATTTTTGGCCAATCAATCCGACCTACCAAATTTCATAAGGATCGGCCGACTACATCTTATTGCTGCTATATAACTGAACGATTGGAATGCCATAACTTTTGTGTTTGTAAAGTTAGGAAGTTAAAATGAATATTCTGCAAGGGTATATCAACTTCGGCTCCGCCCGAAGTTAGCTTTCCTTTCTTGTTTTTGTTTAGGTTTATGATAGGAATCTAGTAAAGAAAAAAGAAGAGTTAAGTGGAGTTAGGAGAACTTTTTTAGACGATTATGCTGTTTTAAGCGAATTTCAAAATGGCGGGCAAAATATGGCTGTTTCCACCATTTTGAATTTCTTTTAAAACAGCTAGTGGACAGTTAACTTTATGGGAGAAGTAGTAGAATGTCTCAAAATAATATCGTAGAATTTAAAAAAAAAACAAAATTCTAATCGGTGGTTTGTATATACAAACACATATATAATCGGTATCTGTAAATAATTCATAATACGGTGACATAATTTTCAAGGACTGCATTAAACAAAATGTATCAATATAAATGTCTCCTAAAATATATCAATCATTTATATTTGAATGCTCTGCTCTTAAAAACCTTTGAAAATAAATGTACGAAAATGTTACATTAAGCTATTACATTTAAAAATGCTACATTTAGTTTAAGCAAGGAAATGCCATTTAAAATAGTTGAATGAGAGAAAAATAAGCGCCAAAATGCTAATTTGATGAAATAATTTACAGCTTCCAATGCTTAAATAATGAAACTATAAATGATTTAAATTAATTTAAACCAAGTGTTATATTAATAAAGAAATTCAACTTTTTGAAAAAAAAACTGAATCAATGTTTGTTAAAGATTCGCCTTGAACCGGTAATTTAAAAAATGTTTTTTATTTTCGGTCACAGCTTCACATAGGTTTGAGCAACAGCTAACTCTCTATCAACATTGTCATCAATGGTTTGGGTCTGAGGTGCGTTTTTCATTTAGTATATTTTGGATTAACTTTAGGTTTTTTATCAGCGACCGATGGTATATTTTAATGGTCCGTTAACGGTCAATCTACACGCAGCTGACTTTAGAACGCGTTCGGAAAATAGGAATAAACTGACTCAGAACGCGTGAAGTTCTTCTGCCGCACGGAAAATCAAAACAAATACTAAACTCAATGCGAGGCAAAGCGTAAACAGCGCAGACAACTGAAACTCGCACAATGCAATAAAAACAGTGATAAATCAAATGGACCAGATTTAATTTAGCGCTAACGGCAAATAATTGAAACCGCGTGTCTTTCGTTTGCTTGTCCCGCTCTTTTCCGGCACTCCCCCCACCATACGAAGTTGCGAGTGAGTGTGTGTTCCCCTGAATTCAATGAATTCGGCAGGCAGTTCAAAAGAAGCCCAACTAAAACAAAAGTGAATTTACCACGTGCGCCGCTTTCTCGCGTCTTTCAGTTGTAGCCGCATTTCGTTTTGTTTTACTGCCGTCCCTCTCTAACGGTTCCCTCTGCTTTGACCGCTGCCCAGCCTCCCAGCAACCGGCGTTTGAAAAGCCGCTGGATTAGGACTCATTAACGGGACACCCACACAAGGACATCACAATGGTGCAGGTCAGTTGCAGCTCCAATTTGGGATAGAAAAAACTTTTCAAAAACAAGGATAAATTAGCGCATCTCAAGTATAAGTTTATTTTCTGTGTAGTTTACCGCCTTACCAGCTTCGAAAATTGCTATTACAAAATAGATTACAAATCCATTATTTTAAATAATAGTAATCAAAACATAGGGGATTACAACCTGGATTATATGTATTGCATCTATGTACATGTGCGTGTAAATCGTTTAAAAATATCCGTTATCATGCAAGGCCAAATCCCATTACTATTTAAAATAAAATTTAAAAAATGTATAGTAAGTTGTAGGGAAATTTTCATTGAAGAAAAAATGTCTCTGCATGTAGAAATCGGACCTGCGACTAAATTTGTACTGTGTGGACTGCTCAAAGAAGCTGGATCGTCTGAAATAGAATTTTGGAAATTCGCAAGGCTTATCGTTTGCCTATTTTTTCCCACTAAAAGGCTGCACACAACAAAATGTTTTAATGCCTTTGATAAATATTGATTCAGTACTGAAAACTGTAGTTAGTTCGTGGGCAAATAACTTTGAAAATAACGTGTGCATCTTAGTTCCCTATGTCTACACCAATTACATTTTAACCGGCTTAAAATATATTTCAATTACAAAACGAATTTTACTCAATATCTTTATTCAAACGAAAAATAACCAAAAAAATACCAAATGAGTTGCGATGAGTTTTTTTAGAATCCGAAGTCAAAATTATTGCAGTTACATTTTCCGTATTACGCCAATGCCTAACAGAATATACTTTTACTTGTACTAAACTGCTTAGTTTTAAAAATATGTAATTTGGATTATATAAAATGTAATACAACAAAAGCTGAACACTTTTAGTGTTTGTTACAAATTAATCTCATATGTTTCTTCATTTAAATCCATAACTTAAAACCAAACCCCAATTCATACTCGAATATCCCACCAACGAACCCTAATTTATCGAAAAGAAAGAAACATTTCTGGTTTCCCTGTTACATTATATTCCACCCCGTCACTGATCTTTTGACGTCATTGTGCACAACCCCATAATCCCAGAACGGGACACCAGAACTGAAAATGCACTTTTTACCGACCATCCCGAGTCGATCCGCGCCTCACCACCCAACTAAAGCCAAACATAAACCACCCAAAAATCCAACACAACCCCCACCTCGTCTTTGGTTGCACTTTCCCGAGCCGGAATCAACCACCAAAACCGGGAAGTTACGAAAAATATGCTGATTCCAAGCTTCGAGAGTTTGGAAAAAAAATTTGGCCATTGGTTGTTTTTCAATATCGACAGACAAGCCAACTAAGATTTTTAAGTCAGATTTCCTTTCACTAAGTAAGGCGAACTAAAATGAGGAGCACAAAATGTGCTCGACATCCTAATATTGTTGCAGAAAATTACTTGGATAACCGAATTTTTAATGAAGAATGGCACCAGAAGCTGCAAAATTGACAATCTGCTAAAAAATTCTTTGTTAATTTGTATAATAAACTAATTTAATGTCTTCTGATTTAAAAGAAATGTCGGGGAAAATAAAAAATTTAGGCAATTAAAGTTAAAGAGACCAAAAAAGCAAAATTATACAAGATAATAAAATTGTATTCCATTTTAAAATAGATTCCATCCTGCCATATTTTCTATGGTATTACCTTAAGCTACCACTATTTGAAATTATGTAATTAAGGTATTATTTTGTAACATAAATGGTCTAATTTAAATAGTTACAATATTAAGGCTAAACGTTTTATTTACACAAATTTTAACAGATCAAAGAAGCTGGGTCGACTAAAACTCGAATTTTTGAAATTTGAATAGGTTAATTGTTTGCCCACCTTTAGTATTAAAAACATGGAATCGTTAAAAATTTCAAAAACATAAAATTTGACTTAAAAAATTTTTTTTTTTAAAGCACTATTACTTTTTATTTTATTTCCTCGAATTTAGCAGCTTTACCGATCCCAAAGCAGTTTTCATAAGATTCATAATCCCCAAGTTCTGCAGAAATTAACTACATATAGAGCAGTTAAGAAATAAAGAAGTGAGAGCATTTCCATTGCTCCCCAGATTGGAATTACCCCTGTGATACCCTGTGATTAGGCTTATGTGGAGAGGCAACCCTGGATAGTCACCTGCCGCCGTTTCCCTCCGTTAAATGAGTGAAGTTCCACTTTTCGATTTGAAATGCGTTTTGCGCCTGCCCCGGCCAACTGTCCACCCGGCCCTCTGCCCACCCATCGTTCCTCCCCTGCAGCACTACCACGACCTCCTCCACCCACATGGTCGTCAAAGCGCTTTTTACCCATTTGCATTTGACGATGCCCGGGCCGAGGAGCAGGTCCTTGGTCCTTGCATGCGGTGGAGGGTGGTTTCACTTCGTTTTGCACTGCGCTTTGGCCTGCGTTCAATAGCCAAAGCGAACGAATATTTCTGATGTTTGACTAAACTTTGTTGTTGTTCCAGTTGCTGCAGCTGCAACTACAGCCTCCTCCGCTCCTGTGGCTAATGGTAAACTGCCAGGGAGGAGGTAATAGGCACATTTGTGCCCCAATCTTCACCGTCCAATCCCTTTCGCCCTAGCACATGCTAGCCAGTCTCTTATTTTGTAACTCTATGCGCCAACGAATGTCAAAAGCACAGAAAAATTTCAACGAGGATAACAGACACGGACGCATGCTAATCAGGACAATTAAGTTAAAAGCAGTACGGATGCATCTGCCTGGGTGTGTGCTGTGGAGACTTAAACTTAAGTTTAGCAAGTATTAACTATCAGAAATAGATGTTGATGTATTGACATTAAAAAATGTATAATTCTATAAAACGACCTATTTTTAAAGTTAGGCCGATTTGTAAATAAATTTTTATTTGTGGCAATGGCAGCTACATATATAATATGATACTTTGATTTTGTAAAATTAAAAATGTTTATTTGAAATCGTAAAAAAAATATATATGTTGAGTTAGCATCAATACATGGTAGAAAACCATAATTTTTGTCGTTTTTTCTAATTTTTCCTAAGTTCAGATTTTTTTCTTTGTGAAACTCAATTCACCTTCAAGAAAAAGGCCTTTTACAATATTGGGCAATGTTTCAGTCTATGAGTCAGAAATGAGTCTCCCAATAGCGAACCGTCCAAGTATCTAATTGTTAGATGGGTGTAATCTAGATTATGAGCAGTGCTGGATTAGGTACCATGTTTTTTTAACTAGGTAAGGTACAAGGAAGTTACAGAAATAAACATGTAGATAAGCTAAAAAGACCCACCATTTTCCAAGTGTATATTTAATTTTAAAAGGTAAAAATCATTAATTTACATTATTTTGTATTGCCTAATTTGGTCTGTTGGCGTGTTTATAAGAACGGATTAAGCATATAATTCAGAATTTTAAAATTATAAACATACTAAGTAACTTCATAAACGATTTTTTTTTGTGTTCCAGTCTGTTGGTGATTCCCGTTCATAAGCGTTTTTGTAGCATCATTATTTTGTAAAACTTGTTACTTGCCTTGCCACTGACAATCGTCGGTATCCACCGACCACCTTAACTTGAATAGGTCAGCTTATCTTGGCTTCCCTTGGCTTTCGATCCGATTGCTCCACCTCAATCTTTACTTTTCGATTTGTTCTTTGCCCTGTTCCCTCATGATTGCGTTAAAATGGATTTTTACAATTTTATGTGTAACGATCGTTGCGGTACAAGGTGGTTACCGAACTTGTGGAGGAGCAACAAGATTCTGGGCATGGTGAATGCCAACCGATATCCTCCTCTCTTTTGTTAGGCGTCAAACGAAGGCGTCTGTTACGGCAGTTCCACGTGGAGGGTCGACTGAGAGTATCTAATACGGAGCAACACTCACAGTGCTCTCGCTTCGAGCTTTGGGATGAAATTGAGTCAGGACCAGAGCTAGTTGTGTTCAAAATGATATTTTTTTGTGATGGAAAGGAGTTATGAGAAGAGCGAGTGATCCCCAAGTGACTGCCACCACTCAGAAACCTGGCGAAATTTTGCGGCTGCTGCAGCTGTGAAACTTGCTGCCAAGTGGGCGGATCCTGACGCAAAATGTCGCGAAAGTCCCCCACAGCTCGATGAGTTTCATATGCCGACTGTGCTTGAAACTCATCCTCGCTGAGCAGGACCCGAGCCTTCGGGGGCACAAACCGACGCCTGTGGCGCACGTATTGGGACCTCAGCCAGCGCACCAGCCGCCAAAGTTCCGGCCAGGGGAGCAGCAGCCAAACGATGGTCCATCCAAAGCCTCTGTGATCGGAGGCAGTAAGGATCAGCCAGTAGGCGGTGATCCTCAACAGGCGACGGTGCAGGCGCCGCAGGATAGAACGCCGCCACAGAAAGCAGAACTTCTGGCATGTGGACTGGAGCGACCATGCACCACCCAGCAACGCCAAGGCCATCACAATAGGCCGCTCCTCGAGCACCTGCTTAAAACTTCCCTTGAGCGGCCTCAGTCGCAGCGGTCGCTCGCCGCCAGATGTCATTAGGGCGGCGGAGACCACGATTACGCCCGCTAGATGGGCGCCCAAGGCGGCAGCCGAGCAGTAGAAGCAGATCAGCGAATCCGCCAGGTGCGGACAGCTTAGCCACAGCACGAGGCCGAAGGTGAACTGCGCGACCCGCTCAAGGTCGCAGCTGACGATTTCCAGCGTGAGGGCGAACGGTTGGTCCGTGAAGATGCCGTAACAGGCGTGGCTGTGGGTGGGCAGCGAGATAATCCGTTGCTCCTCTCCCAAAATCCACAGAGGCTTTCCTTCGTAGCACTCATTCCGCTGGCGATGTGCCTCGTAGATTTCCCGCACGGTGGCCCCCTTATATTGACTGTAATCTCCGCCAGCGGCGATATGCAGGCGCAAGCGGTTGCTCTGGAACACGTTCCACAAGGTCAGGGCTGTGGGACGCTGACAGTAGACCTGCACCCGGTTTTGGATGTACAGCATCTTGAGCAGCGTCTGGCCATCCTGAATGTGCGGTTCGTCAGGATTCAGATACGTCACCAACTGGTCGTGAAAGGCGTCATCCAGACTGGCGATCGGGGACGGCAACTTGAGGAGCAGGATGAGAACGAAAGCGAGAAGTGGAGTCCCCGTTTGAGATACTTGATGCATGTTGTCTGGCCCAGTGTTTCAGATTTTTCTATTCCGAGAATTGTTTACCCAAACGTACATAGCTTGAGACTAAACAAAATATTGGCTAACAAAATTCCAGCTGACTACATAGTCTAGATTGTTCTGTCTACATGCAAATACTAAATCTCTAGAAACAACAATAAAGTCGGCTGATCATTTCTCGAGACGGTAGCGTTTAAACTGAATCAGCGAACGTTATAGAAACCAAAGGTTCATCAACCGTTGATGCAAGTTTTTCCAACATACCGGAATTTCATGGTGTGTGGCAATCGAAAAATAAGAAATATTTGCCTAAGAAAATTGTGTTGTGTTTTTTCAGAACATTCGAATCCTTTGTGCCCCATTTTCCTTCAATATTTCGTTACCATTTCTTTTATACTTCGTTCGTTCCATTTCTTTGCATTTCCACAGCGACTTTTTGTAACTGGGCATGTTGCGTATGAGCTGGTGACTGACTTCGGACCACGAGTACTACTACTACAAAGGACACAGGGCATAAAAACTCACTACGAGTGTGTACTACCACCAAACCCCTTTTTTCCCAAAAAATCAGGGGGAACAAAGAAGGGGAGAACAAAATAAAACTCGGCGCTCGTTCTATCAAAGTGGAAGTCGCGGCCTGAAAAGGATATAAAAGCCAACAAACTCCGGAAAAAAAACGGAGGAAAGCCTAAAAAGCTAGGGAAAGCCGGGAAAGAAAACTGGTCAAAAGGAGAAATCCCGCACAAAGTGACAAACGGAAAATAACAACAAGCAGCAGCCACAGAATGCAAAAGCGACTAAGATGGCAGATATACTCGTATATTGGGAGAGGGAGCGAGCAGAGCAGCATGCTTTTTGCATTATGGCCAAAAATCGAACTGGAATTTGTGCAATTTTTTGGCCCGGCTCCTTGTTGTTGCTTTTGGCCTGCTCTGCTGTGTGGCTATCATTGCGTTCGTTTGGAACGTATCTCGTTTTTTTTTTGAGTGGTGGTCGAGGGTGGTGTGCGGGGAGGGGAGGGGAGACGGCCGGTGGCCTCATGCATTTTCCGTGTTTCGTATTGTGCGCAAAATAAATTGGTAAGCAAGCGAGCAGGCCAGAAAGAGATGGGCTCAGAGAGCGAGAGGGGGAGTGTCCTGGTCAATGGCAATACATACACGACATCCCGTTCGTACATAGTCCCCAGTGCAGTTGTGTGCAGGTCCTCGTTTTCCTCTCGTTTTCCCGACAGCATTTCTGAGTGTGTGCTTGTGTGTTCCCCCCTATTCCCCAGACCCCCGCAGCCCACTCCCACTCCCTCTCCCACCCATCCTCCCTCTCTCGCTCTCTGGTGTATTGCACTTTGTCCCTCAGCTGCCAGGGCACCACCGCCTGCAACCCCACCCCGTGCACGCCCCTTTTTTATATTTCTGGCCACCGAAATAGGCTGCGTCGCTGTCGCTGCCGCCATTTTCGCCAGCGTCGCCGTTCACGTTTCCATTCGCACCCCCCATCCCTTCCCCAAAATCCTCCACTTCCTTCCCTGACCCCCACTCCTTTCGCGTCTTTTCCCCACGCATGTATTGCAGCCGTTGTCGTTGTTGTTTTTTGGTGGCTGCATCGGCTGGCGTTTTTTGAGTACTGCCTTTTGTGTACAGTGGTCATGAACGAACTAAGGCTCAGACATAATTTGTTATTTTTAAAAGTACAAATTTGATAGGACTAATCATTACTTTGAAACTTTTAAGTTTCTGATAAAACTTCAAATAAAAATAGTAGTTTTAAAACAAATTTAAAATATCGGCTTTATTATTCTTTTGCAAAGGATACAATTTTGCTTAAATTAGGCTGAGTTGTGAAACTAAAATTGTATTTTCTATTGAAGAAAGGACACACGACGTAATGGGCCGTATCGACTGTATCATATAGCAACATAATAAATAGCTATTTTCACAATTTCAGAAATACGGTTTTAATTTTAAATAAAATAATACGACGTATAATTTAGTTGCCATAGGAAAAATCAAAAAATGAACAGGAAAATAATTGGGAAATTGAAAACTGACGATTTTACAAATACATTTTTGATCGAAATGAAAATTTATCAGAAATTTGACTAAACCTCATTTTTTTTAAAATACGTATAAGATACAGATTATAAGTATAGCCCTTTTTTAGGACATCAAATTTTGTTAAAGCTGCACCTTTTTATACCCTTTCAGGGGGCCATTATAAGTTCAATCAAAAATTTAATATATATAAAATCGTTGTTTCTTAACATATACATACGCTAATATATAGCAGTTATTATTATTTATTTTTAATCATAATAATTGACTGTTAACTCTTAATCCACCCATATCGACATATTTTAATCCACCTTGTCCACTGTGCAAACCCAATCAGCAATTGCGCCATATAGAACGATTGAAACACAGCGCGACATTTCTGTTGCTGTTGCCACTGCTGCTGTTGTGGCTGCTATTGCAGCAACCTGATGTAGTTGCTGCTGCTGTTGTTATGTGTGCCAGGCAAAAGGCCAAACGCATGTGTGACCAGAGCCCCAGATGCCTCCTCGTGCTCTGCTCCACACGGCGGATGGCAGGACTTGGAACACAGAGCACAGGACATGCCACATAGGGAGCGAGCGAGAACGAGAGTTGAAATCAAACAAAATACTGGGGCGAGTGAATGAAACGAGCCTATGTATAAAAGCTTCCTCTGCACATGAGAGCAAGAACCAAGTCTGCTTGTGTGCGCTTGTGAGGTGGAGGACATGTAGGTGTGGTGTAGGTGGGTGGTGGTAGAAAGCACGCATGGATGGGTGGGCCTACGCGTCGGTAGCCGGACCTCCACTGCCTCCAAAGCGGCAAACGCATCGAATGCGCATCGAATCGAAGCCCAACGTTGATTGTATTATATTGGCAGAGTTCAGGGCATTCTCCCCTGGCCCCCTGCCCACCTGAATCACCCGATTTCCGCCACCCACTCGCCATAACTCTGGTTGTCCGTCAGACATCAGTTGAACAGCGTGCACTTAAATGGCAGTGTGCGGGTGGGTGTGTATCTATGTGATGCCCCCGCTATAGGCAGCCCCACATGCAGAAAATTGAATAAACTCCTCAAATCAAATTTTTCTCCATTTTGCCGAGAGAAAGAACTTTGACTGACATGCAGAAGAGTGTGTAGGCGGTGCCATCTGTGTGTATCTTCGCCATTTAAAGGGTCAATGAAATGCAAAAGTCGGCAATGATTTGGGGTCTTTTCAGTTGTAGCCCCAACGAACTTTTTGGCCCTCCAAGCTTTATTGTCATCTTTGATTTTGATTACCAGATGGTTTTATTTTCACAAAATATTGCCTTTCATTCGATGGGAAAAGAATGGATACAGTTTTATGGACAAACTAAAAGGTTTACCGAATATATTTGATAATATAGGATAATATATTTTTCGTTTTTATAATTATTCGGAGGGGGCTATAATGTTTTTAACGTAAAATGAGGAAGAGTGAGAGAGTATATATAGGTTTAAACCTGTCAGCATCCTATCTCAGGACATATTAAGGCTCATTTTAAGACTTAACACTCAAACATTGCAACATGTGCCGCTTATCCTTCGTTTTAATCGTTTTTAGGATGTCTACTTCTTTATCCCAAGTTTATAAATATTTTTGATTACACCTTCATCTGTATGATAATTCTCTGTGCAAATAGTCAACTACGAGAAAGATTAACCATATAATCAATTAATCTTTTTAAGTAGTCATCATCATAACTTTAAGATTCTCTATGCTTGAAGTCTTTCCGTCCGTAATTTGCATTGAAACGAAATGACGTTTACATATTTACACTTCTCCCTTGGATTTCGGATGTTTGTTGACTCTGGCTGACTCTTTTGGAATATTTGTGTGTCTGAGTTTGCGTGTAGAGTTTGTTCAACTTGTTTGAAGGTCGAGCATTTTACTAACTTTTCAACTCTTCGTCCTCCCATTGCAAATTTAAAACCGAAAAATGTTATATGTATATACATGAAATGGGTCAAAAGTTGTAACAACATTTCCTCAGTCTAGAGAAAGTGATAATGCAGAAATATGGGGGTTTTTGTTTTTCTGCTTGTTGATATTGTTTGTCTTTTATTGTATTCTTGTTTAAAGTGCGAACCATTTTTACCCCTTAATTGTTTTTTAGGCACCTTGACCTACAGATGCAACGTTGTTTCTTGTCAATAACGTTGTTTTTATTGGTATTTGTTACTGCTGTCGCTTTTGGGGCTTTGCAATAAAATTCTTCGTCTTCGAACCAAACAAAAATAATTATTAACATGATGTTTATTTCATTTTTGTGAGAGTAATGCAGAATAGAAATATTTTAAACTGAGTCTTTTGTTGGATACTATAATGACTCCAAAATGTATCTAGTATTTTATTTTAGTTTTGTGCAGCTATAGGAAGATAATTAGCACAAAGGGTTTGGTGGGTCCATTTCAACGCGTTGCAAGTGCAATCTAATGAAAAATTTCATTCAAATAGAATTTTTATGCATTAGCTGCCAAAGAAAATATCCGAAAATTAATAGGAATGAATGAATAATAGGAATTAACTATGTAGTCGAGCTATATCAGTGACCAATTTCAAAAACCAATTTTCAATAATGTTTTAGTTTACCCCATGAAGGATATATATTCTTGATCAGCATAAGTAAAAATAACCATGAAATAAGCATGTCCGCCTGCCTGTATTTCAATGTAAATGCCTAGAGGTTTTTACAATCGTCCTTTTATATATGTACGCAGATCAAGTCTGAAAGCGGCGTTGATCTATATTCTTAGTCACCATAAGAACGATAGGGTTGTGTTCGAAGAATTATGCGTATAATTCTCTTTTTTTTGATTACTGTGATAGTTTTATATCATTTATATCATCCCTTGAGTTGACTAACCTATAGCTTGTGCCAGTGCTCGGTAAACTAGTTATCGGTGTCTACAAAAAAACGAGAATTCTTTGGTTTTTAATTACAAAACAAAAGGGTAAATTCTTCAAATTGCATGTAAAGAAATCCCAGTTAAAA